TTTACTTAAACCAATTCAATTTACATTACCTATGCTGGTACAAACTAAAAAGAAAGTCATATCAACTAAACCAGCTGTTGTTGAGTCTCCAACATCTCAACAAACGACAACAACAACAACAAAAACAGATCAACCATCACAACAAGAACTTATTTTACAACAACAACAATCTATTTTTAAATCATTACTTGGTGAAGGTTAGTCAAATATAAAGACTGTTTTTACTAATTTTTAAAAACTTTGTTTTTTTTAATCTCGTTTGAATAGATTTAAGTAATGAACGCCTTGTTCTTCTTTATTCCGGTCATAATGAAAATATATGGCATATTGATAGAAATGTTAGTCTGGTTGATTCTAAAACTCACGATATTATAACAACGAATATGCAATATTTACATAGTCGAATGATTATTGCTCGCTATGATAAAAAATTTATATCAACCAAACAATTACAAACAACGATTAATTTACTTGAACAATCACTTAATCAACGTTCTGTTTCATTAGTACTTCGTCGTCGTTTATCAAATCCAAATGAAATATGTTTTGTTTGTTGTTCAAATCAACGTATGCATACAATTGATAATGATCTTCAACAAGAAAATTTTATTGATAATGAAGAACAATCTAAAGAACTTATTTTACAAGAAGGACAATTATTAGAATTGCGTTTTCGTGGTAATGTTTTACCTATTGAATATAATCAACAATCATATCCATTTGCATTCAATACATATTTTCCATTTTATTTTCAAACAAATGTATGTGAAGTTGATAAATATTCTCAACATTTGTCATCATTTTTTTATGGATTCGTACAAATATTTTCAAAAGAAAAAATTTTAAAATTTATTACAAAAGAACTTGACAAGAAAAAACAACAATTAGATATAGTAAGTTTTATTCTATATTTTTCATTTATTACTTTATTCAAAATTCATATTCAATTATTAATGACTTCATGGTTTTTATAGAAAGCATTTTACATAGAAATTTCATTAGGAAATTCTAATTTTGAATTTGTTCTTTTCTATTTCTATGACTAACTTTGAGTTTATTATTTTCATAAAATAAAAATACTAACAAATAATGAAACTGAATCAAACATCATTGACATAATATTTATAATAAAATTCATTATTGTTATCGATAAAAATAATTGGTTTTGCAAAACATGATCTAAAAGCAGCGTTGAAGTATAGGGGATAAAAATTTAAATTCATAGATCGTGACTGATGTTGATGTACGATCATTCACTGTATATCAATAATGTCTCCATTCATTAAGTAAACTACTTTCCTATTGCATTTTTGAAGAATCTAGTAAAAGAACGATGAAAAAATGGGTTGTAAAAACGATAGAATAAAACAATCCTTTTTTTTTTGATTAGCAAGAGCAACTACATCATATCTCACATTTTAATGGTGTGGAGATTGTGCTAACAGTTTGTTTTGTTTTTGTTTTAAGATGAAACAAGAATTGCATGAAACAGATGTTTGTTTAGCAGAATTACTTATTCGTTTACCAAAACCACGTGAAGCAATTCGAGCACCTACTCCAAAAACATTGACATCATTTACTAGTGAAGGTAAATAAAAATGTTCATTAAATTCTTTTTTCTATTATTTCTTTTCATTGATAATTTTATATTAGGAATTTTAACTCCAATACTTTTTCATGATATATCAGCAAGTTTAGTTGGTGATGAATGGCGTCGATTAGCACGTCGTTTAGGTATGACACGTATACGTATTGAAGCTATTGGACATGAATATCAAGAAGATGCACCTTATTATATGTTGCTTACATGGTTTAAACGTGCACCACGTTCAGTTGATAAAGATTTATTATTAATTCATGGATTAATGAATATAAATCGATGGGATATAGCACAAGAATTACAATCAATGAAAGAGTCTAAACGTCAAGAGCAAAACACATCTTCAAAGGATGGTAATAAAAACTATGAGAAACAGGCATTTCAAAAGAAAAAAGAAATTCTTTTCTTTGTTTGAAATTTTTAGATCAATTAAAAATATTAAGTGTACCATTTAATCGTATTTGTCAAAATGATGAATGTGTTCGTATGTGGAAAGAAATAGCACGAGAATTAATGTTAACTAATGAAGATATTCAACGTATTGAGGAACAATATTTATCAAAACAAGAACAATGTTTAAGAAGTTTAGAACAATGGGCTTTAAATGATAATCTAGCTGATATTAAAAGTTTATCTGGTATAATGGGATCACTTGGTTTTAATTCTCTGAGGAGTATGTATTTCTATAGATTCTATTGAGTTTTGTGTATAATAAAATATTTCTTTTTTTTTTCAATTTTTAGATGAACTTGAAAAAATGACATAAAAATAAATATTTGATTAATTCCTTGTGAATTTTGTATATTTATTTTATAATTATGTTTTAATAATAATAATATTTTATTTTTTTCTCTTTATATTCAGAGATCTATTGTTTTTTTTTTGATAGATCAAAAAGAAAGCAATCGTGAATACAGTTTTCTTTGATAAAAAAAACGAATGAATACAAATTTATTTGAGTAGAGAGAGAGATTACATAGCTTGAAGAAAATTCGAGGTCGAAAATAATTATATTGAAACAAGAAGAAGAAAAAAAGAGAACTAACGTAAATCGTAAGAAGAACAAGTCAAGAGAGATGTCCATCGTGGTTGAAAACTTGCCACTATCACAATGACAGAAGAAAAAAAGTTCGCGCGCCGTGATATCTTCACAAAAAGATGTTTACAACTTCACTTCTGCGTTTATACCGAATTCGAACTTGTTATTAATTCGTCGAATCATATAGTATTACATTTATGGAAATTAAAAATATGTGTAAATTCATACAGTTTTGTAATGTTCTTTAAAAAAAAGCTGCCACCATTGTGATAGTGTTGTTAAAACATCTCCTGCAGCGTCGATGCTGCGGTGAAAATCGCTGCATATAAATTATAAAGCCGTTGAATATATTCTCTCTTTTTTTTTGTCTTAGAGTACTTTTATGAAGGTCGTAAAATTCAAAGTGGACGTGAAAAGTACTTAAGAATACCGCACACGAGAGCAGTAGAAGGCTTTTTTTTTTAATAATTTGATATTGTTGTTCTTGATAAAGCAAGAATAGTATTCAATTTGTAATCGACTCTAGCTATGTAAATCTCTTTTGAAACAGAAGAGAATTATTCATCATATTCATTTCATTAATCAAGATTCTTCCAGTTGTTTTTTGTTGTGCTCCTGATTTTGTGTGATTTATGTATAGTTTCTGTTATACGTCGATGAAAATGTTTTATTTTCACATTTTTAACAAAATGCACAAGAAAAAAACTAACGCAAAAATACATCTAAGGTTATTCAACTGTACATGAAATGTTCTTCATTTCGATTGATAATAGAAAGGACAAAGAATTTCGTAATCATGAGATAAATCTGATATGCTCATCAAGAACAAAAAAAATTAAATGATAAAAATAATTCAAAAAGACGTAGCTTTTATAATAATTCATCGTCTGACATCAATAATTACGGATCTATCATCAACTCTTTTATTTTGATCAGATTGTTTGTACAAACTCTGAAACCAACTATAATTTAACAACAACAGTCTGTTGTCATTGCAACCAAGCGGTAGTAATATTATATTAGATCCGGTCATCTGTCACAATGATGACAAGGTTATTTATGATGTGTAAAACTAATTTTAATTTAATGTTATATGTACTTTTTATTGTTTTTCTTCGGTTTTACATTCAAGAAGATTCAACTCATAATAAAAATTCACAGTTTAAATAACAAAGTCTTTAATAGTCAGGTTGAAAATGGAATCTACTGTGATGAATAAAAGTTTAGAGCGGTTATATGTTTGAGCTTTCTTCTTGATGGTAATAACAAGAAAAAATCTGAAAAAAAAATTTGAGTAGCTGAAAGGATTCTCTATCAAGATTCATGAACCTAAACACTTTAATAAAGCTGTTCGGATGAGAATGTCTAGACAACCAAATTGCTGCAAAACTAGTTTTCTAACATCCATTTGAAGCTTTTTGGGAATGGTTTTATTTGATAAAGCAAAACGAGATGTCTCGCAACTCTTCATGACCTTTCTTCATCAAACTGCATTCAATTTATGGAAGGTTACAGTACGTCAAACACTACGAAACCCTTGAAGTTTTTCATATCAACAAAAGAAAAATGCTTCTTAGGTCTTCTCTGAATTGAATGAAGTTCGATGAAGGAATGTTATAGAGAGAGCCAAGACATCTCATATTACTCTCTCAAATAAAATCATTCCAAAAAGCTTCAAATGAATGTCAGAAAACTGGCTTTAAGAGTTTCTCTATTCCAGACATCTTTATCTAAGCAGTTTTATTCGAGTTTTTAGATTCAACAATCCTGATAGAGTTTGAAGATTATACCTAGCTATTACTGTCGAGGAGGAAAGTCAAAAATACAACTGTACTAAATTTTGTTCGTCACTATAGATGAATAATTAGATTTAGACATCCTCGATGGCACGAAGCATTCTTTCATTTTGAGCAAAAATGTTTTTAGTATTTTATTCGAATTGATCATTTCAAGTACGCTAAGTTGTATGAATTTCATAAGTTTACCGAATGAGTTGCTTTAAATGTAAACCTAACTCATGAAAATATTCAAGTACTTACATATGGATAGAAAATCATATGATAAAGATACATCTTGTGATCTGTGCATGTCAGAAAAAAAATATTTCAAAAGAAAAAAATAAAGAATCTTGCTTAGATTTCAAGAAATTTTATAATTTTTAATCAATGATTAGTCAAGATTCTTTTCTTCATAAACTTTCAATAATGTAAAGAATAAACCTAAGAAAATCGTTAAATACAAACATGGAGTTTTTTTTTAAACATTACACCACTTCATTTACGAAAGGAAATATTTTTATTGGGTTCTATCAGAATATATGATTATTAAAAAGACAAAAAGAAAAAGATTAAAATTTATTAATCAAAGATCATGTCCAAGTTCATGTATCTCATCAATCATAGCAATAATATCGTCTTTTGTTGTTGCTGGATTCGATATAATTGCACGAAAAAAATTAGGATGATGATCAAGGCGTTGATAACCAACCATCATTGTACCATTTGTCATCATACGTTCTTTAATTCGAGGTGCTATCTTTAAAGAAAAACTTAAATTAATATCGTCTAAATAGTCTTAAGTTACTTTATCCAATCGTTCGTTATATTCAAGTGATGTTTGATCAATATTTTGTAAACTAGGCGGAACATACCAAAAACAAACATTAATAAATGGTGGCTACAAAAGAAAATCAAATAGACTTTTTGTTTTTTTTTTTTTTAATTATGAAAATAAATTTTATTTACTTTGATAACCATTCGAAAACATGGTTCACGTTTAGATATTATTTCATAGAAAAAATTTGCTTTTTCAAGTAATGTTTCAATATGTTCAGCATAACCTTGATGACCACGAGCTTTCCATCCAAGCCATAATTTTAATATATCAATATGTCGACCACATTGAATTGTTTTATCACCTGTATCAAGTGATGTTTCATAATGCTTATCTGGTTGAAATAAATAACCAGCACACATTTGATTGGCTTGCATAAGAATATTCTATAGCGAGATGTTTTTGTTTCTTTTTTTTAATAATCAAAATATTTTCAAAAAATATATCGGATTAGTTATTTGTTGAATAGTTCGAACCATTATTTCTTTTCCATCCTTCGTTAAGTCTTAATATTCCATATGTCATTAACTTACTATCCTCTACTTCTATTCTTTTTTTTTCTTGTGATAATTACTAATGGAATCAAATTCTTCTTTATGTCAAAAACAAAGTAGTCTTTATCTAATTCTACGACATTTTATCGTTCAATAATGGAACAAAAAAAAAAGAAATAAAGTTTTCAATAAAACATACCGTGTGTCTTATTAAAATAGCTGAACATTGAAGATGAATTGACATTAGTTTATGAGGATTCCATGTAAACGAATCTGCCCTAATAAATATATGCATATAAATTAATAATTTGATTACATTGTTAAAATAAATTCTTACTTGTCAATACCTTGAAGAAGATGTTTTGTTTTTGGTGATAACAATGCTGAACCACCCCATGCTCCCTAAATATATTTATTTATTATTACAATAAAAGAAAAAAGAAAGACAAAACAATTTACATCAACATGAAGCCAAATTTTATATTTACGACAAATAATTGCAATATCTTCAATAGGATCAAATGCACCATAAACTGTTGTTCCTGCTGTAATACCAACAAAAAATACTGAAAATCCTAATTCTTGACAATAAAGAATTTTTTCTTCCATCTTTTCAGCCGATACTCGACCACTAAAATAAATAAAACGAAATTTTCATTCAATAATAAGAATATTATGCGTTTATTTTAACTCACGATTCATCTGGATCAACTTCATAAACATGATCTGTTCCTATACCAAGTATGGCAGCAGCTCGTTTCATTGAATAGTGACACTTCACAACACAAAAATTTATGTAAAAAAAAAGACTCCAGTATCCTTCCGTAGTGAATGCAATGAGCTCATTGAGCCGTGCTACCAGTATGTCATAGAAACCTTTGGATACTTGATGAATTTTTAGCACATTATTACAAAATATTTATACACTTTTAATCTGCTAACTTTCTGAAAATTTTTCATAGAATGCTATAGAAACCAGACAGATATTGAGATGATTCTTAACAAGATATCCTGTTGGCAAGTGATCTAGTACACACGAATACCTTGTACTCACAAGAGAAATCTCTCGAAATGTCAAGTCACTTTTCGACCAAGACGATGTTTATTTGGTGAGTACTAGTGAATAATAGAAAATTCATAGAATGATTTTTTTGTTTTTGAACCTTCGTTCTTGAGATAGCAAAATTTTACTGAATTATCCAACAAACAGATGTAATCCCCTCAGGTCATGTAGAAAAATTGAATTTCGACTTCAAACTTTTCACAAACAAAGTTCTCAATGAGATTAGCTCATGAGCTAAGCTGGAACTTTTCTAGTATCTCCTATCTTAAGATATGGAATGTTCGAAATTCTCTTCTGTCTAAAAACAAATTTTGTACATTTTCAGAAAGGAAATCATAGAAAAATTAAAACTCGCACAGTGAAAATTAATCTCATTGCGAAACTTTATTGGTGCTAAGCTTGAAGTCAAAACTCGAAAGTCGATTTTCCATATGACCTGAGTGGAATGAAAAACCAAGTAAAATTTCGATAGTCCAAAGATGACTACTCGAAAACCCAAATCATGCTAGACTTTTCTATAACTTCTTAGTACTCATCAAACAAAAATATCGACTAGGTCAAAAAGCGATTGAACAACTGCAGTAGGCTCCCTTCTCAGTACATTCACTAGTGTTACACATTCGTACATGTTTTGAAATAACCATAGCCGGATGTAATCCATCTTGAATACCATATTTTTTTATTTGTGGATATGCATAATGTCTAGCTGCTAATACTGCATATAAATTAGAAAGAGCACCTCCTGGTGCTAAAACTCCATCACCATTCTTTAATAATGAGTTTTCATTTGACCAACCACAATATTGACGCATATGAGCAAGAATACTTTCTTCCATTAGATTAAAAACCGGTGCGACTTCATATGTAAACATATTTGCATTAATAGATGCAGTTATAATTTCACCTACAAGTGATATTATATCAACACCTTGACTTAATTGATTGATAAAACGAGGATGACCTTTTATAATGTTAAAAAAAAAACATACAAACCAAATGAATTGAAAATAAACAAAAGACATTCATTCAATTATACCTGATCGAACAGTTGTTTCAAGAATACGTTCACAATTCGCAAGTAATTCATATAAATTAATACCTTCATCATCTATTTCAAATGTAAACATTTTTCGATATTCAGCCGGTGTACGAAGTCCATTTTTAATAACCTATTTAAATATACTTAATAAATATAAATGATTTTTCTTTTAAACACATTCATTATTTACAGGTGAATCATGTTCATTCATTTCAGCTATATAATGAAGTATTATATCCATAGTAGCATATAAAAATGTTTTTGTTGTTTTCATATTCGATGTATATGGTATAAGATCTATGAAAAAATATCTTTTTTTTATATCTAACAAGAAGAACTTAATTAAACTTACTTTTATATGTTTGTTCATTTAATTCATCTATATGAATATAATTTATAGAATTTTCTATTGTTGTTTTTTCGGACATTTTCTTTTCGATAGTAGTTTTATTTTAAATGCAATACAAATACTAATGAATTGAGAGCAGCTTATTCTGTGTTGCTATCAGAGAAGTTCTTATATATATATATATGTGTGTGTATGTATGTGTACGTCAATATGAAAAAAATGCATTTGCTTTTTTCGGAAAAGAAGAGGGATAGTCTTTTCCAAAGCACTATTCTTTATTCAAGTACAAAGTAAATAGACATCAAGTGACAAAAACATGTTTTTCATATACAAATATATTATTGAAGAAAGAAAAGAAAAAAGAAATAGATAATAAATAAAATGAGTTTCTAATTGAATATGCATTTTAAATATTGTGTGCGAATGTGTATTGGAGAATCGCATAGATTTGGACAATAGTTTTTCGTACGCTTACAATCTCTCTCAATATCACAAAAGTATCAAACATATATACGTATATATATATCAGAGTCGATTAGGAACTTTGGAAGACGATGACGAATATTTGCCTGGTTTGCAGACGCTACTTTTCAAATTATTGAAAAATATCGTAAACGATTTTTTCATCCATACTTATTATGATGCTGTGATTGTTCGATGTAACATACAGTGCGGGCCGTAAAAAGCATGTACTTTTTTGTTTTTACGCATGAATGAGTAAAAAGGATAGTCTGAAGATTTTCTTTCATATCAGAGTTTGTAGAGAATTTTTCGCTGATCATTTTGGTAAAAAAAGTTTTTAATTTTCATTGAATAATAACGATTTTATAGTCAAAATACTAAACACTGTAAAAAATAGTAAAGAAAAAAGTTTAGCAAACTTTTAGTATTTGGCTAATTTGTACGTTATTTCACCACGTCTAAAAGATGTTCTATATACCATTCGATGCAGAATTTCACGGGCTACCTTTTAGTAACAAGCACTTAAATTTATTATAGTTAATTATTAATTAACTATTGGTTAATTATTAATTAACTATTGGTTAATTATTAGTTAATTATCAGTTAATGGTAATTAGTAAATAGTTAATAAAATTTCGATTTGTTTTTAAATTCCGACTCTTTCATATGAAAGAGCATTNATTTTTAAGTGTCAAATTTTACTGGAATATTAGATTGGATTTATTTTTTATTTTTATAATATCATATTTGATTAGGTCTTAGTTACAATGTATTGTTTTTAATAAAATTATTTATCGTTTAATTCTTCATATATAAAAAATCTTTTTTATTTAATAAATACTTATACAAATGTTTGACGTCTTTTTTTTAAATCCATTTATTCTAGAAAGAAAAACATGGAAACAATAAAAGAAATTGATAGATGAACTACATTGTACAGCTAATACATAATTGAATTATTATAATAATTCATTGGAAGACATTCTACACCAATGAATTTTTTCTCTTAGTACTCCATCATGATGAAAAAGAAACAGAAGGTTTCAATGATTCACATATGTACAAGTTAATATTTTCAATTTCCAATCATTAGCCTTGTTATTATTTTTTTCTTTTGGAGTAACTAAACTCATGGCCACATCGATTGATGATGATCAAGTACCATTTCTTAGTTCATCTGCGCAAACAATTAATATGATTGAAGGTGATATAACATCAACTTCAAATCGAACTAATCAAAATGAATTATCAACACTTGATGAACCAGTTTTGGAAACAATAAAACGTTTGTAGTTTTTAGAATTTAAAAGCGAAAAAAAAGACAGACAACGTAAAGAAAATCATTTCTATTTTCTTTTCAAGGTGATCTAGGTGCTGTTGTTCGTAAATTTGGTTATGCTGTCATTCCACGTCATTCATCAACACTTTTACAACAATGGGATTTATGGGGACCACTTATTTTAGTTACAACATTAGCTATTCTTCTTCAAAGTAGTGCAACGAAATCTAGTGCTGGTGTACACTTTGCTGAAGTATTTACATTAATGCTTATTGGATCGATTGCTGTCACTGTATGTAACGAGAAAAATTTCAGCATTTTAAGAAATTAAATTCATCATGAATACGACCTTTTTCTAAATTGAAGCCACAAGAAAAAAATGAAAATGTATAAGATAAAAATTCTTAATCAGTCAAGTTTTTTCCTGAAGTAAACAGAAAAAAAAAGTCGCTATGACATATCAATAAAGAATTTTTTATTATTTTCTTGATTATTTTAAAGTCTTTTGTTCTAACGAATGTTCTAATATAGAAAAGACACGAATACAAAATTAAGTAATCTATTCGATGGATTTCTCTTTCTGTCTTAAACATAATTTTATATATAATTCAATGATAAATTAACATTTCTGTTTTGAATTATCATTAAAAAAATAAATTCATCTTACTCTATATAAGATTAAATCTATAATTATCTAGAATGAATTTTGATTTGTATTGTCCGGAACAATACTTAATGATATGTCAAAAGAATGAATACAAATATTGCTCATCTCCTAAATAAATTTAAACTTTTTTTAAAAGGATACAACTTACAAATTTTTCATAAATTGAAAACTACCTTTCACTCATAAATGATTTCTCTTCAAAAACCCGTCAATCTCTAGTTGTAAGAAAAATTCGACATAAATGCCTAGTAAAAACGACTTACATTTCTTTATCTATCATGATTTAATAGCATAGTTGAAAATGATAAGAATAATACATAGTTTTTAAGAAATGTAATGTTTCATTATGTACGTAGCACATTAAATATTTCTTGTATAAAAAACAACATATGCCTTGTATTGTATCTGTTTCTTTATCAGTTGTCTATATTCCTACTAATTTAGTGTAATAATATAAGACATAATAGAGATTACTCATTTGGATGCTAATTGATAATAAGGAATAACCCGAAAGTTTTTTAGACAAGATGTTTGTTCATTTTGAATCCACTAGAAAGTATCAAAAGATATGAGTGTCAGGATGCTCATTTCGAATATCGGTTTAAAAACCTTTTTTTTTCTCAGTGAAATTATCTTTGAAAAATTAATTTGGAAGGAAGATTTTCGTATTTTCACTATTGTAATGCGAAACTAAACATTGAAATCTTAATTTATATGTCAACTTGTAAATCAAAAGCTAGCTTACAAAACGCATTATTTTTATTTATTTTTATCTTTGGACAACATACCTCAATTTTTCGTTTTTTTCCTAAATACTTATTTTTGTAAACATTGACAACTATTTCACATTGAAAGAACGTTCTGAAAAAAACTCTTGAGTAGAACGGCTTGTCCACGTAACGCGACACTTCGCTGATCAAGTTTTGAAAAAATTTTTTTTCGAGTTGGATAGATCTTAGTGGGCTACTAGATGCAGTTTTTTACGCTGATTACGAATTTGGTATTAATTTTGTATAAAAATCAGATTTTGATATCGAAAACTGGATTTTAAAGTTTTCAAAAACCGTATTTTGGATTTTTTAACCAAGAAATTTTTTCAACAAAGATCAAGAGACATACCATTCGATGCAGAATTAAATTCTCTACAAAATGGTCTATTTAGTTTTGACTTTGGCAGCTTAAAACAAATTGGAGACTTCGATACAATTCCCAACTTCCTGCTCAGTTTATGAGCTCTCAGATCGATGTATCAATCTCATTTTTTCACAGGGGATTGTCTACATAGAAAACAGTAACACTTATAAAAATCAAGTCATTCTGAGTACATTAAGTGCCTCAAAATTGGTCAACAAAAAACTGTGTAACAGCGTTACGAAAAACGTAACAGCGTTACGTTTGTTTTTTGCATTTTTTATCTGAGCAAAAATGTTTTAGAGAAAATCTTTTTTACTGCCTGAAAGCCTATTCAATGCTCTATAAAAATGACTCTCGGAGCATTACATTTGAAGAAATGGTTTCGCAAGAATTTAGAGTTTTCTTGGCGGCACTGGAAAAAAAGGGTCCTTTTATGTAACAGCGTTACGCCATGATAAAACCTTTCTAGATGCCTGAGACTTCAGTCAAAAAAGGCCATTTTTATACGATAAATAAAGTTCAGTAAGCTGCGTGGAATGACGTTTGAACGAACTTCCTAGCTCTTAAACTTTTCGAGATAGTTGAAGAAGAGTGTGTCAAAAACGTAACAGCGTTACGTTTGGACAAGCCGAGAAGCTGTAGCTCAGTTCAATATTACGTTTTGTAGAGAAATATCGACTCTATAAAATGACCATTGCTTCCAATTTTTAGCATGTTCAAAAAGAAACTTGTACAGTAAAATAAACCTATTGGCTAACAATTTCCAGGTCTTTCAAAAAGTTCCTCATGACTTTTAGACAAAAATACATACAACATTTCTAAGGTCATATTCAAATCCTAGTTGCGACCTATAGTTTTTATCTCATCCAAAATGAATGAACATGTTCGTTGAAAATGTTAGTTCTTGAGTTCTGTTCAAACTAATTTTTTTGTACTTTTTGGAATATTATTTCACTATTGTCAAACAAAATTTCTAAGTTCAATTCGAAAAGAGTATCAATAGTTTTTAATACTTTCTAGCGAATCAAAAGTGAACAAAAAATTTTTGTTTAAAAACTTTTCGATAATCCGTTAATACACACAGAAAGAAATACAAAATTTATAGATCTTGAATTTGATTCGATACGTTTAGAAATATTTTTGATTTCTTCTCTTTTTTATCTGTTAATTTCTAGGTTAATTCACAATTACTTGGCGGAAAAATCTCATTTTTTCAATCTGTTTGTGTTCTTGGTTATTGCTTATTACCATTATTATTAGCAGCATTCATAAATAATATTCTTTTATATATTTCAACGAAAACATCAATACCTATTTTCCATATAATTAGATTTTTAATTGTTATGTTTGCTTTTGTTTGGACAATGTATGCTAGTACACGTTTTCTTGGACAAACTCAACATCCAAATCGTCGAATGCTGGTACTCTATCCAATATTTTTATTTTATTTTCTTATAGCTTGGCTTATTATTCTTCGTGCATATCCAAAATAAATAAATAAACAAATAAAATATCTATAGAAACTATTCATTCATTT